CACATACAGACAAAGATGTTGTGTCCGCCGAAAACTAAAAAATAAACATTAAAAATTCTCTAAAAAAAAAAAATTTTTTTAGTTGATATAGCCACAGTATCTTTATTTATTTGGTGCCTCATATGTTCGAGGCAAGCTCTCTACCACTGAGCTACAACCGCAGCCCTGTTGCTTGTATTCTTTTTATTTATTTATTTATTTATTGGTTGTAACTGGACACAATATGTTTATTTTATTTATTTATTTTTATGTGGTGCTGAGGATGGAACCCAGGGCCTCTCATGTGCTAGGTGAGCACTGTACCACTGAGCCACAATCCCAGCCCCGCCTGTATTCTTAATAGCTGCCATTCTGACTGGAGTGAGATGAAATCTTACAGTAGTTTTGATTTGCATTTCTCCAATTGCTAGAGATGTTGAACATTTTTTCATTTATTTGTTGATGGATTGTATATCATCTTCTGAGAAGTATCTGTTCAGTTCTTTGGCCCATTTGTTTTTGGTGTTTTTTGAGTTATTTATATATCCTGGAGATTAGTGCTCCATCTGATGTGTGTGGGGTAAAAATTGCTCCCATTCTAGGCTCTCTCTTCACCTCACAAATTGTTTCTTTTGCTGAGAAGAAGCTTTTTAGTTTGAATCTATCCCACTTATTGATTCTTGATTTTATTTCTTGCACTATACGAGTCTTGTTAAGGAAGTTGGGGCCTGATCTGACATGGTGAAGATTTGGACCTACTTTTTCTTCTAGGTGCAGGGTCTCTTGTCGAATTCCTAGGTCCTTGATCCACTTTGAGCTGAGTTTTGTGCAGAGATAGGGACTTAATTTCATTTTGCTGCATATGAGTTCCAGTTTTTCCAGCTCCATTTGTTGAAGATGCTATCTTTTCTCCAGTGTATGTTTTTGGCAACTTTGTCTAGTATGAGATAACTGTATTTATGTGGGCTTAAAATCCTAAAGATAGAAATTTATTTCTATTTTAATATTAATCCTTTAAAATAGAAAAAGGAATAATAGAAATAATCCTTTAAAAATAGAAAAAGGACTGAGGATATAGCTCAGAGTGCCCCTGGGTTCAATTCTAGTACCGCAAAAACAAACAAAAAGATGTAATGATCCTTTCTGAGCCGGTCCTGTAGCTCTAGCTACTTGAGAGGCAGGTAGGAGGGTCGCTTGAGTCCACAAACTTGAGACCAGSTTGGGCGACATTGCCAGACCCTGGAATAATAATAATGATAGTAGTTTTTTCTGAGCGATCTTCTCCCAGAGCAGTCTGTTTTGTAGGTAGCCCTTTTGTTTGTTGTCTCTCTCTTTCTGTCAGAGGCATCCTCTGGTGTCCAGGGCCCTGACTGGCTGGAAGAGGACACTCATAGAGCTTGCCCCTGGGGGCTTCACCAGGCACTGACCTGGCAGGAAATCCTCTCCAGCTGATCAGACCCCAGAGAAACCCCACGTGGTGTCCTGTCTGGGGGAGGCCTCTGTCCAGTTCTCTGGGCACTGAGGGTAGGATGGGGCTGGGGTCTCAGCACCATGTACATGTACACCATGTCCTCTGACTTCAACACAGAACCTCATCTCTGCAGAGATCCTCTGGCCCACTGGGAAGAAGTGCCCAGTGTTAGCCTGGCAAGGTACATCCAGGAGACCTGCAGAGGGGACCTGGCTCCCTGCTGTCCTCTAGCCAGTCCTGCTCTTAGCTCCCCTTCACTTGCACTTCGAGAGATACCTGGGCCCTCTTGGCTTCTGTCTGCCAAACATGCAAACATGCAGACTAGACAGAAACTTGCCAGGGCACCAGGAGTCCGCTAGGCGTGGCCCTCTCCCTTTTGGGGCCCACTGGCTTCTTGTCCTGGAGAACCTGAGCACCATGCTCCACACCCAGCTTGTCACAGGCACTCAGGGGTGTCTTCAATCCTCCCCATCCTTGGGACACCCACTGGGAGAGGCCTGCTCTGCCAGCCTCCTCGGGAGTTTAGGAAGTTCTACTTCCCAGGCCTGGAAGAGAAGACTAAGGGCCACAGGAGTTGACCCCATGGATCCAGGCAGGTGGTCCAAACATGGAGCCTCTTTGCTCCTGTAGGAAGGATTGGAACCCTAGAATCTTCTCTCTGGGGCTGGAGTAACTAAAAAAATGCCCCAGTCTTAACTATGCCAGGAAAATGGAGCAAGATGGAGAAAAAGTCTGACCCTGGAAGGGCTCTTGGAGATGTTGGCCAGCAGGGAGTTGTAACTTCACCTAGTCCTCAGTCTGCCCCCCACACCAGCACACCTACATGTTTCAGGAACAGACAGCCTGGGTGGTGACTATGCTGACCCCATTGATGCGGCCAGCCAAGAAGTCTCATTGGYTTTTCCTTCAGCAACAGAATCAGGTGGGCTCTTGGCATCTCCATGGCCGCTGCTCTGGGCCAAGCACCATTGTTTCCCTCTTGGATGTCCAAAGTCAGAACCTTGCAAGGCTCACGAGTCACTCTGGAGAAAAGCTTGAGCCTCAGCTGGTCTACGGGGTCCCACTGCCCCATCTCCCTCCCAGCATCAGAGAAGTAAAAGGGTCACAGAATTACAAAGGAATCACAGAACCAGGACTCRGGGATGTAGCATAGTGGTGGGTGCTTGCCTAGCATTTGCAAGGCCCTGGTTCCATCCCCAGTACCGCAAAAAAATACATAAAGAAGTGAATCATGAACTCCTGAACTGTGGGAGGATAGAATTTGCACAGCTGGGAGGAATCATCAGTCACATCTCAGCTAGTCCACTGGTGGCAGGGCGAGGAAAGACACAGACCTGTGTCATCAGAATATGCCAGAGCTGCTCCTCAAGCAACAAGCCATGGGCTGAACACGTCTCTCGTGTTGGACCATTGCAGCACCTGGAAAACCTATCTGGGTTTACCCTCTCAGGCTTCCCTGCACTCTTTGCATGAACCTGAACATGGCAGGTCAGCTGGCCCTGGCCCCTGTTCCTGTTCCTGAGTCTCTCCTGGGAGTGTACCCCAGCTTGCCACTGAGCTGTCTGCACTTCTGTACCTCACCAGGGCTGCACAAACCAGCAGGGAACCTGCCCTCTGTAGGTCATAACTGGTACAAGATTTGTACAGGGCTGTTTGTCCGGGGAATTCACGTCCTGGCCCCTAAGGTATGGTCTAGAAGTGGGGCACAGGCTCTGGGTGGGCACATTCCCTTGGCCACTGGCCTCCTTCTCTGCAGGGAGGGCAGAAGGCAGAGGAAAGCCAGAGTGGGGTGTGGGCAAGGGAAGGACCTACAATTGGGAGGACAAGGATCATCACCATAGAGAGCATTTGACCCTGACCAGCCCTCCCAAGGACTCCACCTTGGCCAGGGACATGTGAGCGCCACCATTTCCCCTATGTCTTAGAGAGAGGGGTAGAGACAGGGGCTGAGAGGTGATGTGTGAGGGAGGCAGAGCTGGGCCTGACAGAGTTGGGCCTTGGAGGCTGCTAGATGGAGCCACACTTTCCATCCACAGGACTGGATTAACCCTTGCCCTAACCCTCAGGGGTTAGACAGGGAGCAGATTGGTCATCTACCACTGAGAGGAACAGATTATGGAGGGATGGCAGGTGCTCCAAGTCATCAGCAGCCGCATGCCTGGAGCAGCCAGATGCCTGGAGCAGCCAGGCTGTTCAGTATTCAGTGACTGGGGACTTGGGTATCCAGGGCTCAGGGAAGAGACCTCAAGGCACCCGGTGCTCAGTCCTGTATGCTTAGGTGCAATGTGGGGGTGGTGGATGGCTCACATTCAGGTCCTGAGGTCTGGTCCCCAAGCCTGTGGGATCACAATGCCCCCTTGTGGACACTCAAAAGGAGGGACCCCTCCCATGGGTAAGAGCTGAGGTCAAGTGCTGTCACCTTGGCTCTTTGGGTGAACAGGTTGCTGTGTGTGATAGGGGGATGTTGCTGCTAAACTAAGTTAGWGGCTAACTTTACTAGTTGCAATTTAGTAGGTGGGCCTGGCCCCCAACAAGCTCCCCAGCCCCTACACAGCCTCCTTCCTAGCACAGCTGGCTCATGAGGCCAGCAGGGCAAGGGCTGASGTCCTAGTATCCAGATAGAAGCGGCAGAGGGGAAGGGGCAGGGCCCAGAGGGACCCGAAGAGGCCAGGCGAAGGGGGTCTGTGCAGGATCTCAGTGTACGATTTCCAACAGTAGATGAACCAGAGTGGAAGTGGTGGTCTGTCCACTCCCCAGCTCTACCTGGTCACCTGCTGGGAACCTCACGGCCCCTCGYTGCACTTAGAGGGAGATCCAGCCTCTTTGCAGGGCCTGGAGCCCTCCTGGTCTGGTCTGCATTTTGTGTTTGCCCAGGCTCAGCCCAAGCTGTGTGGATCACACAAGAGAAACACAGGGTGCCTTGCACAGGGACCTACGTGGAGGAGGGAAAGGCATCCACACAGGGCAGGGACGCCCTGAGCAGGGAACCTCTAAAAGACCCCATTTGTGCATAGGCACCATTGGGGGTGATTGAGCCCTGGAAAAACTCAGCATTTGTTTGGGAAGTTGAGGGAAGGAGAATTACGGAGGAGGAGGGCCAGCTCCCTGTTGCCTCCTGCCCCAAGAGCAGCTTCTGGCATAGATGTGTTCCACCCACACTTGCAGGGGTTAGGCATCCGGCTCTGGGTGCTACGTGAGTCCTGGGTGGGTAGGGGACCTCTCTGGGCGAAGTATCTCCGTGTGACCGACTGAATGCCACGCCCTTAGTACGCGGAACTCGGCTCTGGGAACCTGGCCTGCAGCCCAGGAGGCRGATTCTGACCCACACTCTGGAGGTCGGCTGACTCCTCCTCGTCTTCAGTAGCTGCATCAGAGGTTGCTGGACCCCGYGACTCTCCAGCTTCCCTAGACGCGGGGGAAATAGGGTCGTTGGGACGAACCCCCACCGCAGGGGATCGGCCTAGGAGCTCCCTGGGGACTGCAGGGCCTGGGCGGGCGAGGGCGTGGCTCGCCGGCGGGGCGGGGCGGGACGGCCGGCCRGGCGCGGAAGTGCAGGCCGCCGCCGTCCGCGGCAGGCTGGCAGTCATGTCCCGGGACGCCGGGTYCCCGCTCGCGGCCGCGCCGCTCAGMGGCCTGTACCTGGAGGCGGGTCAGCAGCTGCGGCGCCTGCAGGACCAGCTGGCCGCCCGGGACGCCCTCATCGCGCGCCTCCGTGCTCGCCTGGACGCGCTCGAGGGGCACGCGGCGCCGTCGCTCGTGGACGCGCTGCTGGAGCAGGTGGCGCGCTTCCGGGAGCAGCTGCGGCGGCAGGAGGGCGGCGCCSCCGAGGCCCAGCTGCGCCAGGTGCGGGGCGGGCGACGCTTCGGGCGCGGGGTTCTCAGCGCGAGTTCTGCGGGCTGAGAGTTGGGGCTGCGGGCGCGGGTATGCGGGTTTACTGTGCGGGGTGCTGACGGGCTTTCTGTGCGGGGTGTAGGATTCCAGTGAGGGCAGGTCTTGGRTGCTGGCCTGCTGTGGGGTCCCTTCCAGCCCGGCCCAGTAAAGGGCTTTAGCCCTGGTGACACTGCCGCTTTATTCTGGGAGTGACCACAAGGGAGGCGCCTGCCTGAGTTCCAGGACAGGTGTGAATCCTTTCTCCTCCTYCTCCTTGGTGCTGTTCTTTCACTCACGAGCACCCCAAACAGAAGCAAGAATAATACTTTCCTATAAGTTGTTTGTAGGCCCCCAAATCAGGCAAACTCTGGCATCTGTTATTTCATTTGGTCCATGACTATTATCCTGATTTTTCCAGGAAAGAAGATAGGCCTGTAAATGGAGTGGCCCTCAAAGGACAGCTTTTGTTTCTAGGACTGGTCCCGTAGCCGGATTTTCAAGGAAAAAAGAAACATGGCTCTGTTTTCTGATTATAAAAGCAAATAAAGGAAAGAATAGAATAATGCCCCCAACCCCCACATTGAAGAGGTAACTGGTTTTCCAGCAGTGGCCTGCCCCCTTCCTGCTTTTCTCTGGGTATAGGACACAGTGTTGAGTTCATGTTTCCTATACAGTTTTACTAAGGTTGTCAACATTTCCCCATCTGTATCATTTAAAATAAACTCAGCAGCCAGATGTCTCCCCAATTCCAGCTCCTCCCCTCTTTCTGGAAGGCCAGTTGTAACTCATCAGAGTAGAAAGGAAATAGAAAAGTCATCTGATCTCTGCCACTAATATTAGCGTAATGGTCATTAAGGGCCACCGATGAGTACAGAGTGGGGTCCCTAAGGGCCCCATTTACCCTATCACCAGAATGTTTTGGGGAGTGGTTAGGGGATATGGGCACCTTATAAGCAGAGCAGAACTGTACTTCAATCTAGAGGCCATGGGTATTCAGCCTGTGTCCACAGTTTCTCACCAGGGGATGCCCCACAGGGCAAGGTCTGTGGTCCCAGTATTACTGGTCCTTCCTCCCCCARCATATATATTTTAGGGGGATTTTTACTTATTATTTTGCAGTTTTATTTAGGTAATTTTGTTTAAATTATTGTGATAGTTTTGGGCTGGGACTGTAGCTTAGTGGCAGAGCACTTGCCTAGTGTGCATGAGGCACTGGATTCGATCCTTAGCACCACATAAAAATAAAATAAAGGCATTCTGTCCACCTTCACAAAAAAATTTTAAAGATTATTGTGATAATTTTAAATATTATGTTTTTCAATCTGTCAAACAAAGTGACCAAACATAGCTATCATAAGTTAAAGTGTGGAACAACTGATTCTGATAGATCCTGTATGTTTTATTTCGCTGTCATTTTTTTCTGTATCATAGCTCCTTAGGTTAGGTGGTTTGCAAAGGTAAATGCTGGCTTAAGCAGAGAACTATCATAGTACCTTTTTATGAAGATAAACACATGTCTCAGCACAATTTTATCAAACATCAAAGGAACTGTGTTGTCAAATCGATACAAATATGGCTGGCCACTTTGGTACACACCTATAATCCCAGTGACTTGGGAGGCTGAGGCAGGAGTATCACAAGTTCAAGACCAGCCTCATCAACTTAGTGAGGTACTAAGCAACTCAGCAAGACCCTGTCTCAAAAAAAAAAAAAAAAAGGTTCTGGAGATGTGGCTCAGAGATAAAGCACCCTGGGTTCAATCCCCACTACCAAAACAAAACAAAACAACAACAATGCAAATACGAGGGTCATTCTTTTTTTTTTTTTTTTTTTTTTACTGTCTCAAGTTTTCTCCTCTCCTCCTCTCCCTATACTCATTATCTTTAGATGCTACCAGTGAATATAACATTTTTATATTTGAAATCATTTGTCTTTTAACTGTAGCAAAAGAAAAGTAACTGAAGCTGACTTTAATGTTAAATGTTATTAGAAATTAATAAGTGTGAAAATAAATGAGTAACTATAATAACCTTTCCTTAAAGAAATGGTTAGTTTAAATGTTATATTTCCAGATATAGTAATATGTTGTGATTGTGGACAACTGATTAAAATAAGAGAATTGCTTACAAACTTAGGTTATTTCCAAGGGATACAGAAAAGTTGTTTCATACTTGTTATTCCCCAGACAGAAATGTAAATGGAGGGGAAAAAACTYGAGAAAAAGACAAGGTAGGGACAAGAGACTTAGGTGGCCAAATCTGTATGTCATTCCGAACACCAAGCAACCTTGGGCTTCCATGCTACTTTAACAGCTGCCTGGGGTCTTTGATCCAGAGGAAATCTCCAGGAGGTCAAGGTCAGGATAATGAAGTGAACCCTTCTATGGAACTCACTTCTGATAGTATGATGGATCTTTTAATTTGCTAGCATCAAAACAAACTGTGGAGCCGGGGATGTAGCTCAGTTGGTAGAGCGCTTGCCTCACATGCACAAGGCCCTGGGTTCAATCTCCAGCACCACACACACACACACAAAAAAAAAAACCTTTGCCACTGTGTACACTGGTAGTAACTGAGAGATAGACAATGGAAAGGGAGCTTCTTTCCCATGAACTCTTGGATTTCTTCACTTGGTCCAAGTCTTGGTTTACCTGGACCCCATCATGGTCCTTTGACTAAGGCAGAAAACTTGCTGAAGAATCCAGGTGTGGTCCAGAACATGGTCCATATRTGCAGTGGTGGAACTGGACCTTTGAATGGTTCAAGTGTATTAGAAGGTTGTGTTAGACCAAAGCTTATGAAGTTTCACTGGCTCCTGGCATAGGGACAGCCAGGTTTGGGCTGCAGCATCTAAGGGCTGCCCAGAAAGCAGGAAGGGACAATACTGGATTGAATGGTGTCTTCCCAAAATTCATGTCCACCTGGAACCTCTGACTTTTGACCTTATTTAGAAATGTGGTGCTGCAGATGTAGTAAGCTAAAATGAGGGTGTGTCCTAATCCAGTGACTGATGTCCTCATAAATGGCCATGTGAAGGTATGTAAGAAGTCATGTGGAGACAGAGGCAGAGATTGAAGTGTTGCATCTACAACAGGAAGCAGTGACTGCTCCTGCTACCACAGTCACATCTGATGCTTTGGCATATATATCAATACTACTTTTTTGTTTTGTTTTGTTTTTTAGGTGCTGGGGATTGAACTCAGGGGCTCTTGACCACTGAACCACATCCCCAGCCCCATTTTGTATTTTATTTAGAGACAGGGTCTTACTGAGTTGCTTAGRGCCTCACTTTTGCTGAGTCTGGCTTTGAATCCACAATCCCCCTGCCTCAGCCTCCTGAGCCTCTGGGAGCCATCGTGCCCAGCTCAATACTTGTTCTTATGTGTATAGAYAACATATTTTCCCTGAATAAACTTCAGTATCAGAAAGAGACATTTCTCTGTCATGCTGCTGAAAAAAATTTCAGCTTTTGTTTTAGAAAACTTAACATTTAAGTGTATGCTATTGTCGGGTCTGAATGACCATCTCTGTTTACTCCACAGAAGGTTTTGAGCCACTGCTGAGGGGAACTTGGTCTGGCTCAGGTGAGCATGGCAGAAAATGTCACTGCCCTGGGAACTTCATTGTCACTAGCAACAGGCAGTGTGTGAAGAGCAGAGCTGTGGTGCTGGCTGATGGCAGCAAGGTCCGGGAGGGGTGGGCCAGGCCAGGRCCAGGGCCAGCAGGGCTCTGCAACACTTCCAAAGAGCAGCTATACCATCCACAAAGTAAGGACATGGGAGAGGCCCTGACCAATTTGTAATACCTTCAAAAATGTCAGCTTTTAAATAAAGTCAAGGTCAGGAAACGCCTGTGCTTTTGGTGCTAGGCTCAATACCATGGAACCGCAGCAGTGAGAGCCTAGTGCTCAGTCTTCTTTTTCCTGTTCGTAGCCCTTTGTTAAGGAGGCCACAGGTGGTTCTCATCTGGGTAAAYGCCCCATCATACTGTGTGTGCCCTCCTGTAAGTGGCCACGACCTGGTAGGTGAACTGGCACCCCTTGGCAGCCTGTGGTGGGCCGCTAAACCCTTGGAGAGCCTGGAGCCCCTCTGTTCTTCAAAGCACTGAGGTCTAGGTCACTCCGCCTCCTGTCCTGCAAGTGCAGTGGGGCTGCTCTGGGAGATCCCGGCTACCCCGGCCCCCTCCACACAGAAAGGCCTGCCTGCTCCGTGGAGTTGTCAGGGTCATAATGGTGAATGCTATGGCCTGGGGAGAACAGAGCTCACCTGGCGGGGAGAGGGAGGCGCCTGAGAYCTCTGATACCTGTGAAGTCAGATGGAGGCATAGATGTGATGGTTGACAGGTACAGGTGCTGAACATGTTTGGGCAAAAATCCACTCTACACTGGCACCTTCCATCCCCAGATTAGTTCTGCATCTGATCATTATAACTGGACGTTTCTTCTTTTCTCTTTCTATTCATCTCTACAACAAAGTTTAGGGAAAGTGGGAAGGAAAAGATGCCCAGAGAAAAGTCCAGAATGTTCTGAGTCACCAGGTTAGCATACACAGGTGCACCCTGGGCTTACCCCACAGAGCAGCTATCATGCACACCATGGAGTTTGGGTGGAGGAGTGCCCGGAGACAGGGCGGGGCCTGGTGCAGCTCCACGGATTGTTTCCTCCCCTTTCCTCCTTTCTCTTTTCTTCCTCTTACCCTTTCTCCCTGCCTTCTGTTCTTCCTGTGTCAAGGACTGAGCCCAGGGCCTGTGCACTGTAARACAAATGCTTTACCACTTACTACTACTGCTTTTCTTTTTCTTCTTCTTGGTGGTGCTGGGGACTGAACCCAGGGCCTTGTAGAGGCAAGCTCTCTACCAACCGAGCTACATCCCAGCCCTTACCTCTT